ACACGGTTCCACAACCTATTAAAACCCAGTCGTTATATTATAGACCGCGGTGCATGTGCACCGCGGTCAAAAACGACGTCGTTTCTTGAAGTAAAGAAACGGTTCGCCGTTAGAGTTAACGGAGTCTGCTTGTTTGGTGTATTAAACACTAACTGACATTACAGTATATTCAAACCGACACTGCAGTTATATCAAAATGATACTGTAGTTATAGTGAAATGAAATTGCAGTGTATATAAACTGAAACTGAATAACATTTCACATATTTGAGTGTATATTGTACAATGAAGCTGTAATTATATCAAAATGATCATGTAGTTGTGTTTTAATGAAATTATAGTGTATATAAAATAAAATTAAATAACATTTTCACATATTTGAGTCTATAAATATCGAATGAAACTATAGTTATATCGAAATGAAACTGTAGTTGTGTTCAACTGAAACTGTAGTGTATACAAAATGACACTGAATAACAGAGTTACATTTTGCAAAAGGGTGCGAAACGGCGGAAACAAACACTGTTAATTTTCATTTAAAAAAAAGACGCGCGGTGCATAATCGATTATGCACCGCGGTGCATAATATAATTTGCCATTAAAACCCAACGTGTCAAATGACTCTTATTTAAAAAAAACCTATCTTAATGGATTTTTAATTATTTTTTTTAATTTATTAGGGGGTTTGGGAAAGATTAACCAAAAATGTATATGAGTTGTTTTAGTTTTTAGCAGTTTCGAGCAAATTGTTAAGTTATTAAATAATATTTTTGGTATTTTGATAAAATGTAAAATGTTAAACAAACGAATTTCTTAAAATTTTGCCGAATTTGCCAAATAATCAAATTACAATAACAACAACAACAACAATAATAATAATCCAAACAAAATTATATACAAAATAAAATTAAAATTAAAAACAAAAAACAAAAAAAAAAAAAAAAAAAAAAAAAAAAAAAGACAAAGGGGAGTCACGGGCTCCCTTTGTAAATGATTTTGAGATCATTTTTATCCCACATTGAAAATGTTTGATAATAGAGAGCTCCTCTATATAAGAGGAGCAATGATCCCCTTACAAACATAATTTCTTGCCCATCAATGTGGGCAAGTATTGAGATGTCAAAAGGTTCTTATTTAAGAAACTTCAACTTTGTCTTCTTATTTTAGTTTTTATTTATTTATTTATTTATTTATTATTAATGGGGGTTGTTAAAGATTAACACAAAATCTATGTGTTGTATTAGTTTTTAGCCATTTGGAACAAATTTATTTATTTATTATTAATGGGGGTTGTGAAAGATTAACACAAAATGTATGTGTTGTATTAGTTTTTAGCCATTTGGAACAAATTACTGAGTTACTATATAATTTTTTGGGGGTTTTTGATTAAAGTTAAAATGACGAATTGGTTAAAATTTTGGCGAATTTATCAACAATCAAATAAATAATAATAATAATAATAATAATAATAATAATAATAATAATATAATATAATATAATATAATATAATGATAATAGTAATAATAATAATAATAATAATAATAATAATAATAATAATAATAATAATAATCTATATCTATCTATATCTATATCTATATCTATATCTATATATAAAAGTAAAATCCTCCTAACAAATTTTTCCTCCAAAACTTTTGTAGTAAAACTTATTTGGTAAGTAATTGTCAAATGGAAATTAAATAAAATCTATTAACTGGTAATATTATATATGGTATTATATTCTATAATATAATATAATTGATAATATTATTGTTCAAGTATAAAATAAAATTAAAATAATAACAATAACAATAACAATAACAACAACATCATCATCATCAACAACAACAACAACAACAACAACAACAACAACAACAATAATAATAATAATAATAATAATAATAATAATAATAATAATAATAATAATAATAATAATAATAATAATCCAAACAAAACTATATACAAAATAAAATAAAATTAAAAAAAAAATAAGAAGAAGACAAAGGTGGCTCCCCTTAGTAAATGATGTTGGATCATTTTGATCCCACATTGAAAATGTTTGGAAAGAGGAGCTATTGATCTCCTCTATATAAGAGGAGCAATGCTCCTCTTACAACCATACAATTGCTTGCCAACCAATGTGTGCAAGTATTGAGAAGTCCAAAGGTTTTTTATAGTACTACTATTGACCCGACAAATTATGCTGTGTAACTGTGTCCACCTTGCAAGGTAGACATGGTTCAAAAATAGTTCATAATTATGAATATAATAATAATCAATATATAGTTCAAAAATTATGAACATATAGTTCTATAATTATGAACAAAGTGTTGTGAAAATAATTATGAACACATAGTTATCTAATTATGAATATAGAGATTCAATAATTGTGAATATGAAGTTTAAAAATTATGAATATATATTCCTTCAAAAAAAATAAAAAAAATAAATTATGAATATATATGTTTATAATTATGAACATATAATTCAATAACTATGAACATAGAGTTCTGTAATTATGAATATAGAGTTCAATAATTATGAATATGAAGTTCAAAGATTATGAATATATAACTTTATAATAATGAACTTATAGTGCAGTATTTATGAACATAGAACTGTGTCCACCTTGCAAGGTGGACACGGTTCCACAACCTATTAAAACCCAACGTGTCAAATGACTCTTATTTAAAAAAAATTATCTTAATGGATTTTTAATTATTTTTTTAATTATTTTTTAATTTATTAGGAGGTTTGGGAAAGATTAACCAAAAATGTATATGAGTTGTTTTAGTTTTTAGCAGTTTCGAGCAAATTGTTAAGTTATTAAATAATATTTTTGGTATTTTGATAAAATATAAAATGTTAAACAAACGAATTTCTTAAAATTTTGCCGAATTTGCCAAATAATCAAATTACAATAACAACAACAACAATAATAATAATCCAAACAAAATTATATACAAAATAAAATTAAAATTAAAAACAAAAAACAAAAAAAAAAAACAAAAAAAAAAAAAACAAAAAAAAAAAAAGACAAAGGGGAGTCACGGGCTCCCTTTGTAAATGATTTTGAGATCATTTTTATCCCACATTGAAAATGTTTGAAAATAGAGAGCTCCTCTATATAAGAGGAGCAATGATCTCCTTACAAACATAATTTCTTGCCCATCAATGTGGGCAAGTATTGAGATGTCAAAAGGTTCTTGTTTAAGAAACTTCAACTTTGTCTTCTTATTTTAGTTTTTATTTATTTATTTATTTATTTATTATTAATTATTAATGGGGGTTGTGAAAGATTAACACAAAATCTATGTGTTGTATTAGTTTTTAGCCATTTGGAACAAATTTATTTATTTATTATTAATTGGGGTTGTGAAAGATTAACACAAAATGTATGTGTTGTATTAGTTTTTAGCCATTTGGAACAAATTACTGAGTTACTATATAATTTTTTGGGGGGTTTTGATTAAAGTTAAAATGTTAAAATGACGAATTGGTTAAAATTTTGGCGAATTTATCAACAATCAAATAAATAATATAATATAATATAATATAATATAATATAATATAATAATAATAATAATAATAATAATAATAATAATAATAATAATAATAATAGTAATCCAAACAAAACGATATACGAAATAAAATTAAAACTAAAATAAATAAGAAGAAGACAAAAGGGTGCCACGGCGAAAATTATGCCAAGGAAACGTGTTCACCATGAATGGTGAATACGGGTCCAAACGGCGGCGTTTTTACGTAAAAAAAAAAATAATCACGCATGTGGTGTTAACGGCGCGCGTTTGATCAAATTATGAATTTTCTGTTATGAGATTATGAATGTACTGTAAATTCACAATCTCATAACAGAAAATTTATAATCGCATAAAAGAAAAAAATTTATTAAATTATGAATTTTCTGTTATGAGATTATGAATTTACTGTAAATTCATAATCTCATAACAGAAAATTCATAATCTTATAACAGAAAATTCATAATCTCAAAACAGAAAATTCATAATCTCATAACAGAAAATTCATAATCTCATAACAGAAAATTCATAATTTATGAATGTTGAAGAAGTTTGAGAAGTCCAAAGGCTTTTTATAGTACTATTGACCCGATAAATTATGCTGTGGAACTGTGTCCACCTTGCAAGATAGACATGGTTCAAAAATAGTTCATAATTATAAATATAATAATCAATATATAGTTCAAAAATTATGAACATATAGTTCTATAATTATGAACAGAGTGTTGCGAACATAATTATGAACACATAGTTATCTAATTATGAATATAGAGATTCAATAATTGTGAATATGAAGTTCATAAATTATGAATATATATCTTATAATTATCTAACTCTATAATAAAGCAACAACTTCTGGCCTAAAAAATTATCCCGCCCAAATGAATACGTCGTCGTTTTACCCCTATGTTATTGTCTATTGCATTTTAGCGCCTGATGTATACGATGTCGTTTGCTGTGCTGTCAGTCCAAAATTCGGCTATTTAATGCTGCATTTATAAATTTTAGCGCCTGATGTATACGATGTCGTTTGTTGTGCTGTCAGTCCAAAATTCGGCTATTTAATGCTGCATTTATAAATGTACACATTCCAAATAATATCTTAAATACTACTTTTATCTTACCAATGCAGAAAATATCTGAGAAGTCGAATGGTTTTTTACTTTTAAAAGTAGACCACTACTGAAATGTCTATATATATTTACACATGTACTACAAACAATATAATATAATAAAGACGGAAATTATTTACATAACTCAAGATTATAGAATTTAAATTTAAATCAACACCAGCATTTAATACCATGTTGGTGTTCCAAGGCTTGATCATCATGAAAACTCTTCGAAAGTTGTAATTCAAAATGTGATTGTTGCCTATAAAAGGCTACATCCAGATGTTGATGTCCATTTGATTCAACCCTAAACCCTACCCATCACTATTCTCCATCTTCGAAATAGTAATATAATGCCTTCCCTGTTCATTGCTATCAAAGATATCCATCCTATCCACAAGCAAAGGGGAATTAGAGTACGTTGTGTACGCATCTATGATGTGCCTGAGAGGAGGGTAGGTAGTAACGTCAAGAGTATGGAGTGTCTTCTCCATGATGATCAGGTACACTTCTATTACATTTTTATTTAATTCATCTTAAAGTATATACATGTTTACACAGTCACTGAATAACAGAAAGAATATACATGTTTACAATTTTAGTGACTAAATTTGCAAAAAGAAGCAGGTTTCTATATATACAGCATTCCTGTACATGTATAGCTTCTATAGTTGTTTACTAACTACATTTGCAAACAGAAGCATGATGATCAGGTACACTTCTATTACATTTTTATTTAATTCATCTTAAAGTATATACATGTTTACACATTCACTGAATAACAGAAAGAATATACATGTTTACAATTTTAGTGACTAAATTTGCAAAAATAAGCAGGTTTCTATATATATAGCATTCCTGTACATGTATAGCTTCTATAGTTGTTTACTAACTACATTTGCAAACAGAAGCATGTTTACATGTTCACTGTAACTCAACAATATTTTTGTAAAACAGAAGCATGATTCCATCAAAATTTCTATATCACTTACTGCCCATATTTTATGCACACTGTATTTACATTTCTGTACAGGGAGACTATATACATGCTAATATTCAGAATAAAGATGTTGTCAAATACAAAGATGTGCTAAAAGAAGGCCAACTGTATGAGATAAAGAACTTCTATGCTGTTACAAACTATTACCTTTACAAGGTCACCCAGCATAAGTATATGCTCAAGTTTAATTACAAAACAGAAGTCAAACAGATCAACTCTATAGGCTTTCCACTTTTTATGTTTCGTCTTACAAGTTTTGAGTCTTTGAAAGATCCCAAGCAAGTGAATGACAAGGAGCTCATTGGTAAAACCCTAATTGTACTATTACTAATACAACTACTTAGGCATATAATGACTGCTTATATGACTACTTGTATTCTTTAAATATGTTTCAGATGTTATAGGTCGTGTGGTGGAGATATATAGCCCTGTGGACAAGATTGTTGGTGGTAAAGCCACAAAACTGATTGACTTTCAACTCTGTGGTAATACGTAAGTTTTATATTTTTAGTTTATTTGTTCCATTACAAGACTGCATATTTCCTTTCAGATTTTATTGTTGATCTAGATTGACTTTCATATTGTGTATTTCCTTTAGTTTTACACTTTCTTTATTGATTCCACTTTATAAGTTTCCTTTTCTGATTATTATATTTAATTATTGTCATTTTCTACCTACCAAAAACAGTGATAACTACATGATGTGTACCTTGTGGGATTCTCATGTTGAGTCTCTACTGCCCTACTACAATTCAAGTTCAAATGAACCAGTGATCGTAGTTATTCAATGTTGTAGGGCCAAGGTGGTTAGTGGTGAGTGTTTGAACCTTATACTGTCCTCCTCTAATTTATGCAATAGACTCCAATGCTATGTTTTTTCTATGTGTTTTTTTTAGGTGAGGTCAGAATAACATCATCGTATGATGCAACTAAGATCTGGGTGAATGATGATTTTGATGAGTTCAAGGACTTCAAATCTCAGTAAGTCTATGTAATGCATAAACTTCCTGCCATTTTTGAGGTCTAAATGAGTGTCATTTACTCAGTCCACTTCTGATTGTTTTGTGCAGGTTAAAGGTTCAAGAGACTCCAATTAAGAGTATGAGCACTGTGACTCTGAACTCCCAGTCCACAGGGATTGAGAGTTTCCAAAAGGGTGAAAGGATTGTGTCCACAATCTTTGATCTATCTAAGCTGCAGGTTGTTAATTACATATTAACAAGCTTTCTTACAAATCTATTTTGTGGTGTTAAACATACTTTTTGTAACTATGTTTTCAGGATGGGGATTACTATATTCCTGGTGAAATTATGGCAATAGAGTCTTCTACAGATGATTGGTACTACATGGCATGCCTGACACCTGGCTGTAACAGGAAGCTTAAAGCAATTGAAGGAGTCTTAAGCTGTGACAAGTGTGTAAAACAATTTGAGGAAGGTACTGCTAGATATAAGCTTTTGGTGAGAGTCTTAGACAAAACCACAGATGCAACTTTCCTGCTCTGGGATAGGGAAGTTGCAGAATTAGTTGGCATTCCTGCTACTCTGTTGTATGAGAAGTACAAAAAGGTACTTTTTTTTGCTTCTACCAATTGTATAAGCCTTTTAAAAATTTTATTTTATTTTTTTTACTAATCGTATTACTTATCAGGCCGATGTTGACATCCCCACTGAGATTGAGGTGGTGATTGGTTTAAAAATGATTTTTAAAGTGGGGATTAAGAGAGCTCAAATGAAAGGCACTAATCCAGCTTACAATGTGATGAGGGTTCTGAGGGACGAGCAGTTGTTAGATGCTTATTGTTCCAGATTATTTGAAGATGAAGAAAAGGACCTAATGTCACAGCAAATAGAAGAGGATGACAACACTTCTCAACATTCTGAGGTGAGTATACAGTTGAACTAAACCCTATCTTTTACTTAAATACGTTAAGTAATTTCTAATTGTTGGTTCTACTTTTTGTTTGCAGGAAGCATCTAAAGAAGAAGAGGTCAATAGTCCTGCTAACACAAGGCACTCAGAATCCCAAGTTGATGTTGAAGCAGATTCTCCTACTACTAAGAAGTCATTGCTGGATCAGTTTTCATCCTCAAAAGGGAGCAAAAGGTCAAAGGGTGGTAGCATTAAGAAGGAGAAGATGAACTGAATTGTTTCAATTCAGTTATGAACAATACTTTAAGCCTCTTAGCTGTTTTGATTTGTTTTTTATTTATGCATTGCACTAAACATTTTGTTGACTCTGTTTTTTTTTTTTTTTAAATGATAATTAATCTGGGCTATTTTGGTGCTTATTATTGTTTTGTGTATGTTTTAATTTCTCCTAATTATATTACATAATTACTTAAGTATACTATTGTAAGTTCATTTTGTCCTATTTTATTTCATAGGACAAACACCAAATACTATATTGCTAAGAATTTTACTTTCCACAGTATAGACAATTCAAAGTCTTTAGACCTGATTTTGTTAAAAATAATGCATCAAATCCCAAAAAATATTATAATTTGGTTATAAGGGAACTAAACTAGACTTAGTTTATGTTTCATGATACTTAAGCAAACAAACAGTTCACACCACAACTTATAAAAAAAAAAAAACAAATTAACAAATTGCATCAAATATCTAAAATCTCATTATAGTAGACCATAAAGGTTTATACCTATACAAACAGTTTTTCTATCTAAAATCTAATGATAATTAACACCACAACTTAGAAAAAAAATAAAACAGTTTGATTTTAAATCCATCAAAAACTGTGGACTTTGTTGGTAAAAAAATTCTGTATTGCTTAAGACATACTATAATACACTTATAGTATCTTGCATGATACTTAAACAAACACCAAATTAACACAACTACTTAGAAAAGATTAAAACTCATTTAATTAAAATGCATCAAATGTATAAAATCTCATAACAGTAGGCCAGAAAGTGAACTAAAAACAGTTTTCCTCTACTTGATTCTCAAAAAAATTATTTTTTGTAGTTGAAACTTATACACATTATAGACTTAGATCGATAAGTACACCCTAAACATTATACTTTATTATTAAAAAAGTGATTATTTATTATGAAATTATCTTTCCATAATACAATACGACTTTCTGTAATGATACTTAAACAACTAACAAATTAATTCCACAAATTTATGCCGGTCAAACAGTTTTTTTTTTTTTTTTAAAAAGTCACATTTATCTATACTATCATCCTTTAGTTGAAATGGAAGTAAAACCACAATTGCCTGTGTGGTTTTGTTTTAAAAGTTCTGTTTTTGTATGAAAGAGATACGTATTATTATACATTCTCGATGTTCTAGATTGTAACTTAATCTAAAATAAAAATAAAAACCACCTTCATGGTTTCGTTCAATTGGAGCTGTACAAATGACTCATTATATAGTATACTATGAAAAACTTGGGTTCTTAAAGTACTCGCGTACTTGGTTTTATATATCACTGTAGTATATAAACTAATTTTTTTCTTTTTCAGAAATATTGAACTGTAAGGAGGTGAATGAATGAACGAAAGGGGTTTCTCAAGTTATATCCACATTGTATATGTACTGTTTAAAAATGATTTTTGTGAATTTGAAAGAAATCGAATTTGAAACAAACAAATCACTCGATTCTTTGCAATGAAGTATTATATCTTGAAACCCTGTATCAATTATTTGAAAAGCTACATATGCAGATGAGTTGACTAATCCTAGACTAAAAATATACTATACAGCATTGAAAAGAAATGAGCTCCAAATATCTATTACATCACTGCCCAAAATCTGTTGAAAAAAATAGACACTTATATAGTGTATATGGGGTTAATGTGTGCTGCAAAAAGATAGGACACAACAAACAGAGGTTAAAAATGCATTTTGGCATCAGAATAATATTTCATCATTTGCCATATTAGAAAATGTATACAAGGCAGTAATCTGAAAAAAGAAAATCTGAGTTTAGGAAAAGTTTGGAATCCACCTTTTTAAGGACCAGATTAAGTACAACACCTCACACGTACGCTAATTAGAGAGGATGAATTGTTAATCAAAACAATGGCATCAGAATTTTGAGTCATCATTTGCCAGAATCTGGGAACAAATAATTTAGTCATCTCATTTGAAAAAATTTAAATCAGACAATATCAGGAATACATGTATTTAATTAGTACATAAAGTGGAACACACCAAATGCCAATTTCAAGAAAAACGGAAGAGTCATACCATAATTACTCAACATCAAATAAGATAGTTATAATTCACACAGTTCATAATTCATGTTTATCAAACACAGCATATCATATTGGAAATTTAACCATTTTCAGAGCAATGAGGCAAATTACAATTTCTACAATCATAGGCACAAAGAGGAAGCATTCAATACAACAAAAAGGTACACAAAATTTCTAATCTTACTTGACTTTTGCTACCATTACTGTCAATAACTTGGATTGTTTACTGTATCCTATTTCAAATGGTGCATCCCAGACTTTCTGTCCCTGCAAAACACATTTAATAGATCCAATAATAAGAACAATTGTTTTACAAATATTAGTAAACTAAATCTAACAATTAAAGAAGGTCAAAAATTCGTGAAATGTGACTTCTAAAACAGAGGCTAAATGCAGCTAGCAATATAATTTCAGCTATTAATTACGGACGGAAATCATGTCTCATAGCAATTCAATTGAATCATTTCAAATCCGCAAACTGAAATCGAAAAGTAGACAAATGATGAGAAATCTTAGATATACTTAGCTTATATGTTGTTTCTGGACTTCTGGTGAAGGACGATCATGTCGGACTCATCCACGCCGAGCAATTGATGTCTCGAACACATGTTAGGGTTAGGATAGAACAAAACCCTAGATCGAAGAATAGGATAAAGCTATGGTATCGCCTGATTTTAGTATCAAATCGGTAATTTCCAAAATTGAAATTCGAAAGAGAAAGGACAGTCACGCAACTAAAGCGAAGGAAACAAACTGAAGATTTCAGGTGTATAGTTTACAGTTAGGGTTTGTACTCCATCGAGCTACAAGCGAAAGAGTTCACGCAAACACCATAGAGACTGTCAACGACATGCTTGCTACCAAGCTTTCGGACAGAGTGAGAGATGTAAGGAGGAAAGGTAGAGAGAACTACGGAATGCGATGGTCTGTGACGATGGCGAGAAAGGCGGAAGGAATGCGAAAGGTCGGGTAGGGTAGAAGTGAAGGCTGGACTCCGCATTTATATTCCGGGTTTGCGGGTCGGGTTTAGGACCGGGTTGGTGGGTCGGGTTAATGGGGCTGGTTAGTTTAAGTCTATTGGGTAAGTATTGCATTTTTACTTAGCTTGGGCCTTATTTTTACAACTTATTAGTATGTTTAGTACAATGATTTAATGAATTAATTGTCGTGTAATGGATAAATAGGATATCATAGAATACTTATGTCGTCAAGTATTATTTGACACATAATACACAATTCTAAGCTTCCATGTATATTAGATACGTTTTTGAAAGTATTCATAGAACTCTATTTTTTGTCTTATTCAATATTACTTTTAAATTGAACGTACATCTTTATAAATTAGATTTTTAAGATGAAATATTAGAAATTGTGTTGTAATGGAATGTACTAATATAAGAGTCTAATAAATAATTCTAAATCATCTTGATAATTTATCAATTTTCGTACTTATAGGGAAACAACACGTTACATAACAATATAGTTTCAATTTAGGGTGCACACCATATGGTGGACCTTGGTACATGAATAATTCATCATAGTTATGTTATTAACTTTTCATTGATAATTATACTTGGACATTTATAGTGTGTAATGTTGGTCTAATTACTTAACTTTACTTACCTATATCGCAGAGAATTTTGAAAAAATTTCACCAACAAAGGAAAACCCTCCAGTTGGAGACGAAAACGATTCAAGTATCCCCAGAAGACTTTCATCTGGATGTTGTTCTACTCAAAATATTACACCAATGAGTACTATAACAAACGGTAAAACTATTACATATTCTAGCGATGTACATTTACATATATTTCAAATATCCATATATTATTTTTTTTATATATGGTTGTTATTTAATTATTGAATCTATTTGTGTATTTCGATATTGTATATAATTTTTTTATACATGGTTGTTATTTAATTATTGAATCTATTTGTCTATTTCGATATTGTGTTTAACTTAAATATTTATCTATGTGCGACAAAGGTACTTGCAATATACACTTAAGTGGGCGTAACATAACACAAAAATTCGGCTCAAACAAATCAAAGGTTTTCATTTTGGGACACTTACAAGAGTCAATATCCTCCGTACCAACATCTATATTAACTGGTAACTTTCTATAAAATCCTAAATGTACGTTTTAATTTTTTACGTTGATACTATAGCTCATTTGCTATGAACTTTGACAATAGGTTGTGACACACAACATAAAGTACCAAGGCGACAACCGTTCAAGAACATATCGAATGTTAATAGTGGATGCACCAAAATCCTAGACGGTAATAATTGTTGTACTATTAAACCTCCACAGGAGATAAATAGGGACTTGCTATTAGCGTTCGAAGAAGAATCTATTCCTGCACCGATTACAACAGCAGATATTTGTTCAACCGGTATTTCCTTAATTTCTATATTAATATAGAAATGCTTTCTTTTGTTAAATATAGGGATACTTTACTCCTTTTATTTAATTTTGTTAACTTTTTTTGAGAAACCCTTTACTACTTTATTTTAATCTATTATATTATTGGAAAATTGAAAATTTTTCTAAATTTCAAGTACAAAATATTCCCTTGCCTACAGAAGCCAGCCTTACTGCTACAAGTTTGGTTAAAAATGTTGACGGAATACCAAAGAGCAACGATATTGCTACCACACATGCGGTTTCTGATGGTACGTTGCACAATATACTATTAATAGCTATTGTGAAATATTAATACCGCATCATAATATTACCTTTTAATGCAGTTGAATACTGTGATTTTGGAGACGCTACAAATACTTGTGACCATTGTGGTGCTTTATTTTGGTTTGAGGAGAGACAGAACAAAACCGTGACTAAGGGATCACCGCGATTTTCCATGTGTTGCAACAGTGGTAAAACTAAGTTGCCCACGTTACCCTTGCCACCTAAAGGTATCAGCGATCTTTTTTTCGGCAAATGTGAACTATCTAGGAAATTCTTACAAAACATCAGGACATACAACAACATGTTTTGCTTCACATCAATGGGAGGTAGGGTTGACAGGACGGTGAACAAGGGAGGCGGCCCCCCTGTATTCCGATTAAATGGGCAGAACTATCATTTAATGGGAAGTTTACTCCCACAAGAAGGCAAGCCACCACATTTTGCCCAACTATACATATACGACACAAACAATGAGCAAATAAATCGTATAAATGCTGTGAGGTAAACCTGATCTTCGCTTACTTATGTTATGATCATTTAGTCTAAACCAATTATATAAAGTATATTTTCATTTATTAATTAATGCAGGGAGGGTTGTAATCAAGATGACATTCATATAGACATAGTGAATGTCATTCAAGGTGAGTTGGATCAAAATAATGTCTTGGTTAAGTCATTTCGTATGGCTAAGTCAGAAATGGATAGAAATCCCTGCACTGAAGTCAAGATAAAATTGCTAGGCAAGCGCAAGAAAGATGCTAAGACATATAATTTACCTGAAGTGTCTGAAGTAGCTGCATTAATAGTTGGAGATCTTGATACCAGTATAGGTGAGCGTGACATTATCGTTCAAACTAAGGGCGGCCAGCTACAAAGAATAAGTGAATTAAACCCTTCATACTTGCCACTTCAATACCCATTGTTGTTTCCATATGGCGAAGATGGTTATAGGGAAGACATTGCCTTCTCTAACATAAAGGGCAACTGTGGTGCTGGCGGAAGACAAAGGATTAGTCCAAGGGAATTTTTTTGTTATCGCTTACAATCAAGAAAAGAGGTTGTCAGTACAATACTACATGCGAAGAGGTTATTCCAACAATTTGTTGTCGACGGATATACAATGGTTGAGTCAGGAAGACTCATCTATATAAGGACACACCAAAAAAGCTTACGTTGTGAATCATATAGTGGGTTGACAGATGCTTTAACTCGGGGTGAAATAAATCCAGCAACTCAGGGCCGTAGGATAATTTTACCATCGAGTTTCACTGGCGGAGCAAGGTACATGATACAGAACTACCACGATGCGATGGCTATTTGTAGATGGATTGGATATCTGGATTTATTTATAACTTTTACCTGCAACCCAAAGTGGCCTGAGGTGCAACGTTTCCTTAACGACCGTTGTTTGAAAGCTGAAGACCGTCCTGACATAATTTGCAGGTTATTTAAGATGAAGCTCGATTCCTTGATAACCGATTGTAGAAAGAAGCAACTGTTTGGATCGGTTGCTGGAGGTAAACCCCTGTACAATTTTTTTTTTTACTATATCATCCTGTTAAGATTGTTTTTCCTAAAATATATTCATTATTTACTTCACAGTTATATATACCATTGAGTTCCAAAAAAGAGGCCTCCCTCATGCGCATATATTGCTCTTCTTGGACAAAAGAAACGAAGTTAGTCAACTTGGAGCTTTAGACAAAATAATATCAGCTGAGATACCTGATCAAAATATGGATGTAGAATACTACAAAGCTGTTGAGGAATTTATGATGCATGGGCCATGCGGAAAAGCTAGACTGAATTCTCCGTGTATGGTGAAAGGAAGATGTTCCAAACATTTTCCCAAAAATTTTTTGGAATGTACTACTTTTGATGATGATGGGTATCCCTTATATAGACGTCGAGAAAATGGAAGGACAATAACAAAGAATGGCATTGCCTTGGACAACAGGTATGTTGTACCGCACAACAGACATTTATTGCTTAAATACAAGGCTCATATAAACGTTGAGTGGTGCAACCAGTCCCGTTCAATCAAGTACCTTTTCAAATATGTCAATAAAGGACACGACCGGGTAACAGCCGAGTTCTACAAAACAAGCAATGATTCAGATGTTGGAAAATCTGTAGATGAGATTAATATGTACTATGACTGTAGGTACATTTCTCCCTGCGAGGCTGTATGGCGGTTGTTTGGCTTTGATATACAGCTTAGGGCTCCATCAGTGGAAAGGTTAAGCTTTCACTTACCCAATCAACAAAGTGTGATTTTTGCAGATGACGATCCAGTTGACAACATTGTCATTTGTCAATAGACCAACTATAGGACAAAGCATGTTCTTGGAATGGTTTGAGGCTAACAAGACATTTCCAGAGGCAAGAAAGATGACTTATGTTGAGATGCATACGAAATTTGTGTGGAAGAAACAACTACGAAAATGGCAGCCAAGGAAAAAAGGATTCGCAATAGGAAGGATTTTTTACGTCCCACCTGGCACTGGTGAAATTTTTTTATTTAAGATGTTTGTTGAATAAAGTTCGTGGTCCTACATCTTTTTCTGATATAAAGGTTGTGAATGGTGTGCAATATGATTCATTCCGCGATGCATGTTATGCTAGAGGCTTAGTTGATGATGACAAAGAATATATCGACGCAATAGAGGAAGCAAGTCATTGGGCTTCTGGAGATAAGTTGAGGAGGTTATTTGTTACACTATTAATGACCAGCTGTATAGGTAAACCTGAAGCTGTTTGGAATGCTGTGTGGCAACATTCGTCTGAAGATGCACAATATCAAGTTCGGAAACAATTGCAAAATTCAGGTACACAAGCTATTCTGGTTATATCTTTTGAACTTTATTTTTAGTTATTTTTAGGGCAACGTACTCAAGCAAAATCCATTGGTTTTGTTTTCACTGTATGATTAAAATCACTGCAGATTCTGTGTTGAATGACAATCAGAAGATGAATTTTGCGTTGGTTGAGATTGAAAAATTGTTATCAATAATGGGAAAGAGTCTTAAGGACTTTCCAGAAATGCCAGTTGCAGATTTGGAGACATATAATTTAATATCAAATAGGTTGATACAAGAAGAATTGGAATATGATCGTGTTACTCAGGAGAAAGAGAATAACGATTTGGTTAGTCAACTGACAGATGAGCAAAAGGTAATATACGAGGAGGTGTTAACAGATATTGAAAGCAAATCTGGTGGATTTTTCTTCGTTTATGGATATGGTGGTACTGGTAAGACCTTCTTGTGGAGAGCACTTTCATCCGCTTTAAGACAGAAAGGTGAAATTGTTCTAAATGTTGCATCTAGCGGCATAGCTTCTCTTCTGCTACCAGGTGGTCGTACAGCACATTCTAGGTTCGCAATACCTATATCTGTTAATGAAGATTCCACTTGCAACATAAAACAAGGCACCCCGTTGGCTGAGCTTATTATGCAAAGCAAGTTGATAATATGGGATGAAGCTCCAATGATGCACAAGTTCTGCTTTGAAGCCCTAGACCGAACTATGCGTGATTTATTGCGCTCCACAAATCCAAGAAGCTGTGAAATGACATTTGGTGGTAAAACAGTTGTTTTGGGTGGCGATTTTAGACAAATTCTTCCGATTATTCCAAAGGGCACAAGGCAAGATATTGTTGGATCGAGCATAAATTCATCATACCTTTGGAGATCATGCAAAGTATTTAGGCTAACAAAAAATCTACGCCTAAGACGTGTAAAATCGCAAATAGAGGCTAAAGAGATTGAGGAGTTTGCAAACTGGATAGCAGATATAGGTGACGGGAAAATTGGAAATTCAACGGATGGTGACGCAGAGTTAACAATTCCAGATAAGTTTCTACTTAAATGTGAAGGTGATACTATCTCTACAATTGTTGATAGCATTTTCCCGTTGTTTAGAAGCGCTAATGGTGATTTATCATACCTTGAGGATAGTGCCATATTGGCACCAACATTGGATATGGTAGATATCATTAACCAATACATGAATGATCAAAATCCAAGTGAAGCTAGGACTTATTTGAGTTGTGATTCAGTTTGCAAGTCAGATTCTAATGCAAATATGTTAGCGGAATTGCACACTCCAGAATTCTTAAATGGTCTGCGATGTTCTGGTGTACCTAATCATGCATTGACTTTGAAAATTGGGTCACCTGTTATGCTCTTGAGAAATATTGATCACACTCTTGGCTTGTGCAATGGTACAAGATTGATTGTAACAAGGTTAGCTGATCATGTGTTGGAGGCAAAAATAATGGGGGGTACAAATGCAGGTACTACAGTTTTGATTCCAAGGATGTCACTAACACCGGGAGATCCAAGATTGCCTTTCAAATTCCAACGAAAGCAATTTCCTTTGATGCTATCCTATGCCATGACAATAAATAAAAGTCAAGGACAAACGCTCTCAAGAGTGGGATTGTATTTAAAAAGACCAGTCTTTAACCATGGCCAAATGTACGTAGCTGTTTCAAGAGTCAGTAACCCTACGGGTTTAAAAGTTTTGATTTGCGGAGAAGATGTAACATGTCTTAGTAAGACAACAAATGTTGTGTACAAAGAAGTCTTCAACAATGTTTAATCAATTTTCAATTTGGTGGGGATTTTTTATTTTTTACATTTCTTAAGCTTTAGTACATACTGTATATTCCCTAAAATATACATATGGCCGTGCATCGTACGGGTGCAACTACTAGTGAACATATAATTCAGTAACTATGAATATAGAGTTCTGTAATTATGAATATAGAGTTTAATAATTATGAATATGAAGTTTAAAGATTATGAATATATAGCTTTATAATAATGAACTTATAGTTCAGTATTTATGAACATAGAACTGCAAGGTGGACACGGTTCCACAACCTAAAACCCAACGTGTCAAATGGCTCTTATTTTTTTTTTTTAAAAAAACTTATCTTAATGGATTCTTAATTTTTTTTTTAATTCGTTTTTAATTTATTAGGGGGTTTGGAAAAGATTAACCAAAAATTTATATGAGTTGTTTTAGTTTTTAGCAATTTCGAGCAAATTGTTAAGTTATTAAATAATATTTTTGATGTATTGATAAAATATAAAATGTTAAAACATACGAATTTCTTAAAATTTTGACGAATTTGCCAAATAATCAAATTACAATAACAACAACAACAACAACAACAATAATAATAATCCAAACAAAACTATATATAAAATAAAATTAAAATTAAAAACAAAAAAAAAAAAAAAAAAAAAAAAGACAAAGGGGAGTCACGGGCTCCCTTTGTAAATGATTTTGAGATCATTTTTATCCCACATTGAAAATGTTTGAAAAGAGAGAGCTCATCTATATAAGAGGAGCAATGACCCCCTTACAAACATAATTTCTTGCCCATCAACGTGGGCAAGTATTGAGATGTCAAAAGGTTCTTATTTAAGAAGTCTCAACTTTGTCTTCTTATTTTAGTTTTTATTTATTTATTTATTTATTTATTATTTATTTATTATTAATGGGGGTTGTGAAAGATTAACACAAAATGTATGTGTTGTATTAGTTTTTAGCCATTTGAAGCAAATTACTGAGTTACTATATAATTTTTTGTGGGGTTTTGATTAAAGTAAAAATGTTAAAATGACAAGTTAAAATTTTGGCGAATTTATCAACAATCAAATAATAATAATAATAATAATAATAATAATAATAATAATAATAATAATAATAATAATAATAATAATAATAATAATAATAATAATCATAATAATAATAATAATAATAGTAATCCAAACAAAACGATATACAAAATAAAATTAAAACTAAAATAAATAAGAAGAAGACAAAAGGGTGCCACAGACCCCCCTCTGTAAATGATGTTGGATCATTTGATCCCACATTGAAAATGTTTAGAAAATGAGCTCTTGAGCTCCTCTATATAAGAGGAGCAATGCTCCTTTTACAAACATAATTGCTTGCCCATCAATGTGGGCAAGTATTGAGAAGTCCAAAGATTTTTTTTTTAGTACTATTGACCCGATAAATTATGCTGTGGAATTGTGTCCACATTGCAAGGTAGACACGATTCCAAAATTGTTCATAATTATGAATATATAGTTCAACAATTATGAACATATAGTTTTATAATTATGAAAATAGTGTTGTGAGCATAATTATGAACATATAGTTATGTAATTATGAATATAGAGATTCAAAACTTATTTGCTAAGTAAATGTCAAATGGAAATTAAATAAAATCTATTAATTGATAATATTATATATGGTATTATATTCTATAATATAATATAATTGATAATATTATTGGTAATAGTTATAACTTTAATCAAAATTTATTAATTGGTAATATTATTGGTAATAGTTATTGGTAAAGATTAACCCAAAATGTATGTGTTGTATTAGTTATTAGTAGTTTGGAGCAAATTTCTAAGTTATTATATAAAATTTTTGTTGTTATGATTAAACTTAAAATGTTAAAATGACGAATTCGTTAAAATTTTGACGAATTTATCAATAATAATAATAATAATAATAATAATAATAATAATAATAATAATAATAATAATAATAATAATAATAATAATCCAAACAAAACAATATACAAAATAAAATTAAAATTAAAAATAATAATAATAATAATAAGACAAAAGGGAGCCACGGGCTCCCTTTGTAAATGATGTTGGATCATTTTGATCCCATATTGAAAATATTTGGAAAGAGGAGCTCTTGAGCTCCTCTATATATTACTTCTCTTACAAACACCATTGTTTGACCATCAATGTGGGTAAGTATTGAGAGGTCCAAAGGCTCTTATTATTATTATTATTATTATTATTATTATTATTATTATTATTATTATTTTAGTATTATTGACCTGATAAATTATGCTGTGGAACCGTGTCCACCTTGCAAGGTAGACACGGTTCCAAAATTGTTCATAATTATGAATATATAATTCAAAAATTATGAACATATAGTTCTATAATTATGAATATAGTGTTGTGAACATAATTATGAACTTATAGTTATGTAATTATGAATATAGAGATTCAATAATTGTGAATATGAAGTTCACAAATTATGAATATATAATTTTATAATTATGAACATATAGTTCAATAATTATGAACATAGAGTTTTGTAATTGTGAATATAGAGTTCAATAATTATGAATATGAAGTTCAGAGATTATGAATATATAGTTTTATAATTATGAACATATAGTTCAGTAATTATGAAAATAGAATTGTGTCTACCTTGAAATGTGGACACGGTTTCACAGCATAACTATTTATAAATAGTCAATGAAAATTAAAAATGAAACGAAAATATTAGGTAAAAATATCATTGCATCTATATTCTAATTGACTAATTGACTAAAAATAAAAAAGAAATATTGACTGAAAATGAATCTAATATTACAAATTGACTGAAATTATAAGAGGAAATGAATATTAATAATTGACTGCAAATAAAAAATGATCCATAATTGACTAAAAAACAAGAAAAAAATGGTCAGATCATTGCATTTTAATTAAAAATGGAATGAAAATTAAAAATTGCAGGAAAATATTTCAATAATAATATTCTACATTATCAATAGTAAATGCATATTTTAAAAAATAGTAAAAGTAAAGAATGGAAATATTTATTTTCAAAAAAAAAAAAAAAGAATGGAAATATTTCAATAATAATATCTACATCATCAATTAAAAATGGAACGAAAATTATGTAAAAATATCACTGCATTTGATATTCTAATTGACTAATTGACTGAAAATATAAAAGGATAACTAATTGAGATTCTACCATTCACTACTACAGAAAACGGTTTTAACGTCGGTTAAAATACCCCATTTAACGTCGGTTATCTTTCGACGTCGTCTTAAGAGACGTCGTAAGTAAATGATACGACGTCGGTTGAACAACCGACGTCGTATGTAATATACGGCTTCGGCTTTTACCTAAAAGCCGAAGCCGTGTATATATATATATATATATATATATATATATATATATATATATATATATATTTTAAAAATAATTTACATACGACGTCGGCTTTTGGGTAAACGCCGAAGCCGTATATATTTATTATTTTTAAAAAATAAAAAATAATTATCCTACGGCGTCGGTTTTTAGGTAAAAGCCGACGCCGTATATATATATATATATATATATATATATATATATATATATATATATATATATTTTTTTTTTTTTTTCTTTTTTTTTTTAAATAATAAATATATACGGCTTCGGCTTTTACCTAAAAGCCGAAGCCGTATATATTTATTATTTTTTAAAAAAATAATAATTAACCTACGGCGTCGGTTTTTAGGTAAAAACCGACGCCGTATGTTATTATTTTTTTTTATTTATATGCGTTTTATGTTTTCTACCCCACCTGTATCAATTTTCAAACCCTGCGCAGCTAGCAATTTAACATTCAACATTCAACATCAACTAATTTATTAAACTAATTCAAACTATTAAACATGAAACTAATATAAAGAACACAATTCATTAAGCTAATTCAAGCTACTAAACATAAAACTAATATAAGTACCACAATTCAACAAAACTTCTAAACATTAAGCCAATAAACATAAACTAATTTTAAACGTAAAGTATCAAACTATTAAACATGAAACTAATATAAAGAACACAATTCATTAAGCTAATTCAAGCTACTAAACATAAAACTAATATAAGTACCACAATTCAACAAAACTACTAAACATTAAGCCAATAAACATAAACTAATTTTAAACGTAAAGTATCAACTAAGAAGCGTTTTATTAACCCATTCATCAATAAGAAGCTTAGACCATTTGTCTCTAACTTCATCAATCTCTTTTTTGTTGTAGGGCAATCTTCCTTGTCTTTCCAAAGCCTACAAAGTTCAAAAGAAATAAAATTAATAAATAAGCAAGTATTTTTAAACATTTGAAGCCAAAAGATATATTAAGAAATTACTTGCCTTATCCATTCCTTTGCTTAGATTGTTGGAAACAATTTCCAACATGAACTTCATCACATAATAACCACATTCGGTGGTTCCCTTTTGTATAGCACACTACATTGAATTACAATAAAAATAAAATAAATTAATAAAAAAAAAAAACAATAAGTTTGCATGTTTTACAAAGTGAATGAAGTACTTACCGAACATATAATCCATTTTGGTGAACAATTTTGTTTCTTTCCACTCATCATGTTTGTTGCAGTCATACACCTATTAATATAAGACATAGAATATATATAAATACTTGGCATCACTAGTTTAATGATAACTACTAATTAATTATATAAATTTACATACGTTTCCATTATATGTTTAATGTCTTCACGCGGCCCATGACCAAGTGAATCAAACCAAAAAATTTCATTTAGTCGAGGACAAATCGCCATCAACATCCAATGCTCACTACAAATAAATAATTTATTAGTTTTAAGTGAATATAATATATAATAAAAATATATTATATATAAGTACTTTTATTTAAAACGTAATTAATACTTACTTGAGAACATATGACGCTAAGTATACCAATTTCTTCCCCGACTGCATGGTGGCATTTATATATGATATCCTGTCTTCCATATTATTCATTTGTGGTTGAATCCAATATGGATCTAGGAAGCCATACGTGTCTTTTGATGCCAACTCAAAACTAATGTAAATACCCCTATTCACAAACACAACCAATTATATATTGATTACCAACTATATAAATATAAAACTATTATGAATAAATAATACTAAAGAACTTATTACCTCATAAAGAACTGAACTAGAGAAACATCGATGGTCTCCATATTTAAGAAACGCATTATCTCATCACTTAGAAGGTGCAAGTCATAGTCAATGTTGCCCATAATACCACGAGCCACATGGACCACAAGAGGGTGTTCAAAACGGCGAGCTATTGAAAAGGCCTTTTTGCATCCATCAGTCAAAAAATCATCATCAGGTATAGTGAATTGTTGATGAACGGATTGCACACACGAATGAAAAGTCAATTTGGTCTTTTCTTTTGACTGTGAATTATAATACAAGTAAGAATTATTATTTTAAAAAGTAAATTACTTACTATTTTAAAATAGAAATATTTTCAGTATACATACCACATCAACTTTAGTACATAACTCTACCAGCTTCTTTGGCCAAGCAATAAAGTGTTGAATTGCATCACCTACAAGTTGAACCTCACTGGTGGGGATTGGTACATGTGCACTTGGATCACTAACTTCATTTACGCTCACCTTCACATGATTTATATCCGTATTCCTAAAATTTCAAGATATACACAATAATATATAAACAAAATTTCATAAAATTCCACATATACACACAACAATTCATAATTGACCCACTAACTTATAAAATTAAATATATACACAATTATTCCTAAAATTTCGAAAATATACACAATAATAATATATAAAATTCAAAATTCAAAAAATATATATACATAACCATTTTTAATTTATAATATATATATATATATATATATATATATATATATATATATATATATATATATATATATATATATATATATATATACATACGTACGTACCTTGCAGGAGAGGCGGCGAGCGGCGACGACGTTGGGCGACGGCGAGGACGGCGGCTTAGGGCGACGGCGAGCGAGGCTGAGGCCGAAGACGACGGCACTATTGCGAGCGAGGCCGAGGACGATGTCAACGTGCGGAGAGCGAGGCCGACGGCAGTGGATGATGGCTTAGGCGGCGGTGGAGAGCATCGGTGGCGTAGGGCGTTTGGAGCAGTGAGGAGTGAAATGTTGAGTGTGAAATGTTTGGAGCAGTGAGCTAGGAGTGCCGATCTGAAAAGTTCTAGCTAGCTAGCTTCATTATTATTATTTTTTTAATTTATGTATACGGCGTCGGCGTTATACGACGCCGACGCCGTATCTACTATTTATTTTATTTTATTTTTTTTAAAATTCGAGTATACGGCGTCGGCGATATACGTCGCCGACGCCGTATCTCCTATTTATTATTTCTTTTTTTTTTTTTAATTTGAGTATACGGCGTCGGCGTTATACGTCGCCGACGCCGTATACCATTTTTATTTTATTTTTTTTTAATTATTAGAGATACGGCGTCGGAGATTAATTCTCCGACGCCGTATCTACTATTTATTTATTTTTTTTTAAATTCAAGTATACAGCGTCGGCGATATACGTCGCCGACGCCGTATACCATATATATATATATATATATATATATATATATATATATATATATATATATATATATATATATATTTTATTTGAGATACGGCGTCGGCAACGTATAACGCCGACGTCATATCTCGTATTTATTTTTTATTTAATATATGGCATCGGCCATACCAAATAACCGACGTCATATGTATTTTTTAAAAAAATAAAAAATAATTTTAAATATTTAACGTCGGATTTTCAAAAAAACGACGTTATAATGTAGACGTTAAATCCGTTTTCTGTAGTAGTGATTGTATATTTTCAACCAAGTAACCCGTCATGTTGGATTGAAGGTGTTAGCTCTAGATGAAGATGGACAAGATTGTGTTGCCACTAGCAATGTCGTCTAGAAAGTGGTTTCAATAATGTGTAAATATAATCGGTGATATTAAGTTTTTTTTTTTTTTTTAAATGAAAAAATTGTTATATATCTAGACAAAAAAATATATCTTCCATACAAATGAATAAGGATAGCAATTTATTTCTATAACTGAGCTGTTAGAGTACGAGCACATTTGCCTAATTTATGAAAATACTAAACAATGATAAATAAAATCTTTAAAGTTATAGCACCGCATGTGTACATCTAGACATTAGCTATTAATTTGAGCAATTATTTGCACAAATTCAAGAAATGATATCATTAAAATATATAAACGATCTAAACTATATCTTTAAGTGCACTATATAATATTTGATGTTCTAATTTAAATAATTATATATAAATTCATATATTCTTAACAAATTCATTCCGTGCATCGCACGGGTACAAATACTAGTTTAATTAAGAACGATTATTTGTAATACTAAATATATAGGCTGATTTAATTTAAATGATTTAATTAAGGATGATTTAATTTAATTAAGGATGATCATTTGTAATAATAAACATATAGAGGGTTATTTAATTTAAATAATTTAATTTAATTAAAATACTATACTATAGTAACGAATTATTATTATTACTATAATAATAATAATAATAATAATAATAATAATAATAATAATAATAATAATAATAATAATAATAATAATAATAGTAAGCAATATTATATTCTTCTTTTACTCAACATGTTAAATTACATGAATTACGTGAATTTATTTATAAATTGACTAATTCGTTATTATAGTATAGTATTGTATTATTATAATAATAATTATTTTTATTACTATAATAATAATAATAATAATAATAATAATAATAATAATAATAAATAGTGCATAGTAATTATAATAATAATAATAATTCGTTAAGGCTAATAGGATGCATGATTCCGCGTTTCTATATTATTGTTATTATAATAATTGCTATAATATATATATATATATATATATATATATATATATATATATATATATATATATATATATATATATATATAAGAGCCCTCATATGCGGCGGGGTCTTACGGTGCGGCGGTGCGGTCAAATTCCAGAATACACCAATAGTGTTAACAATATGCACCAACAGTGTAATAAAAACACACCCTAATGAAATGTAATAAAACATCACAAAATACACCACAGACTCAAAAAAACACACCATATAACTCACCACCCCCAATGGTGTATTTCCGAACAGTGTATAGTGTTTTTACTCACACCTAATGGTGTGTGTTTGGTGATGCAGGGCTCTGTTTACTCTGTTTTGTGTGGTGTATTTCCTAACGTTGATGGTGCATATTTGGTGAACTATTGGTGTTAACAATAATAGTAACTAATATTATATTCTTCTTATCGCAACATGTTAAATTACATGAATTACATTAATCTGTTTATAAATTAATATGAATACAATAATTGTTTTCACATTTGGAGGGAAAGTCTCTGGGAATTACATGAATCTATTTATAAATTAATATGAATACAATAAATGTTTTCACATTTGGAGGAAAATTTGTTGGGACAATTATATTACTTTAATATATTATGCCGTTATATTTATATTAAGAAAAATCATAAATGCTTCGACCAAATTAGAAAATAAAAAAATTACTTAAACCCGGCACCATAATCTATATATAAATACCAAAGGCAGTTTGGTCTGCAGATCAGAAGTGTTATCAAGCATGAAGCAATTAAGCATGCGTGTTGGTGGAGGAATAAAAGTTGGTCGTCATTTGAGGTTAATGATGATGAGTGAAAGGGAGAGAAAACGGGTGATTGAACGGAAGAAGGCGGCATTGTTGAAGCAAGCGAAAGAGCTTTGTGTGTTGTGTGATGTTGAGATTGGGATTGCAATGCACGAGGGAGATTGCCTTATTGATGTTTGGCCTTGTGTGGAAGAAGCGAGGAAGCGATTCTTGGGGTTTTGGGGGCTTCCGGAGGCGGAGAGAGTGAAGAAGATGGTGACACACGAGAAGTTTGTGAGAGATTGGGTTAATGGTGAATTGAGAAGATGCGGAAGAAGGAGCATGAAGTGGAGAGGAAGGAGATGAATGTGGTGATGAAAAAGGTAATCCAAGGAGAAAGCAGATTGGAGGAGATAAAGGATGCAAGGCAGCTTATGGGTTTGTATGCGTTGGCTGATGAGAAGATGCAAGAGCTGGAGAAGACGAAGCAACATCTTCTGCAGCAGCGCAGTGTCCCTCCGCCACCAGCAACTGCATCTTGGTTCGTTCCTGCTATGGCGCCTCCGCCGGCAAACGGCGGCGGTGGGGGTGAGGGTACCCATCATGACATGATCTTCTCTGATGCTGATTTCAATCAAGTTTGGCCTTACAACTTCTGATCTCATAATCTTTTTAAACTCACTGTAATGATTTATCATTGCAATTTGCCTTGAATTATTGTCATGTTTAATTTCTTAGAACTTGTTTGAATTGAAGTATCAAGCTAGTATGCTGTTACAGTGTTACTTTTGTGTGGTGTTGTTGTTGTTTTTATTTATTTATTTAGTATTAATGAATGAAGTATTTGTAATTGAAAAAAAAATTATTTTTATTTTGATTGGTTGATTATAGTGCTTAATGGTATTAATTATATTAGATTAATACATTAAGTAAATAAACAATTATAATGTAACAAAACTAGAATGCTATATATTAAGTAAAAAAATTCAGTATAACTGAACAAATTATTGACTATCAACTTTTCTAATCTATATATATTTGGTTAGGGACTATGTAGAATTTATTAAATTTGGTCCTTCCATTAGAGTATTATATTCAAAATGTTAAGACAAATAAGGAGTGTTAAAACAAAAACAAGACAAACTTGTATGTGTACACTCTTTTAGTTCCCATATTTTAATTAATTCCGGCCAGTTTAGGTCCCCTATTATTGAATACGACTATCAAATGTATATTTTGGGAGGAAGGTTAGAATTTGTAGAGGCTAGTACAAAGAGAAGCGTTATTGTTGCCAACGACTTTGTGGTCTAATGGCATGGAGTGGCTCTTTTAAATGGAAGGTCATGAATTCAATTCTCAGTGGGGGCGGTATTGACTTTTCATGGGTTCAAGACTCTTTGTGCTTCGGTAAATTGGCATATCTCCCTATACTTAAATTGTAAATTGGCATTATCTCCATTAGGGAGCAAAGTTATGTCGATTTGTAAAAGATTAACATACATAAGCAACATATATACTCTAGACGTAGAGCTTGACAGTTATAACTGCCCAGAGATAAGAAAGACATAAAAGTCCTCAAGATCATTTGCCCATAAACTGGAGCATAGAGGTCCTCAAGTAAGTCCATCTGCAATTTGCGAAGATGAAGAAGATGAAGTCCATCTGCAATTTGTGAAGATGAAGGAACAGGTAACAGTTTGATTAGGCCTTGATTGAGTCTTTCACGGACAATGTGACAATCTATGTCAATATGTTTTGTCCGTTTGTGAAAAACGTGACTCAATTCTCAACAATGGCAATAGCCGATTTGCTATCACAAAACACGGCGGCAGGCTTGACTGGTTTACATTGTAAGTCACTGAGCAGAGATGTTATCCACTGTGTCTCACAGACAGTTGATGCAAGGGAGCGATACTCTGCTTCTGAGGAGGAACGTGAGACAGTCATTTGCTTCTTGCATCGCCAGGAGATGAGAGCAGATCCTAGGAAAATGCAGAATCCCGTAATGGATTTGCGCGTTTCTGGACAAGAAGCCCAGTCAGAGTCTGCAAAGACATGTAGCTGAATTCTACTATTTGCTGGATACAACAGACCTTGCCTGGGAGCTCCCTTAATGTAATGAAGAACACGGTGAGCAGCACTCATGTGTTCTGATGTTGGAGAGTCCACAAATTGACTCAATTGTTGAGTGGTATATGTAAGATCCGGCCTTGTAGCCGTCAAATATAATAAGCGACCAACTAGCCGTCTGTAGGGAGCTGCATCACTGAGAGGGGAGCCATTTTCTTTGTTTAATCTCTGTCCAGGAACCATTGGGGTGGCAAATGGTTTGCAGTTGAGAAAACCTGCTTCTTCTAAGATATCGAGGGCATATTTCCTTTGACATATATTTAATCCATTAGTATTCATATGAGCTTCAATGCCCAGAAAGTACCCCAAGCTTCCCAAGTCCTTAATCTTGAACTCACTGTCAAGGAAAGATTTGACAAATGTCAACATGTATCAAATCAAAGCAATTACTTGATCTAGTATTACTTAAAGGAAAGGGAGATCGTTTGTGTTTAGCTAGGTGGCAGACATCACAAGCTAGAGTACTGCCCTTTGAAGTATCCACATCACATAGGAGATGAATTTTGTTGGTTTGAAAGTGGCCTAACCTTTGATGCCAAGTTTCCAAGTTAGTGCACTGTGCAACAAGCTGCTTATTCTTCATATTTGGTTCCTCCATTATGTAGAGGCCTCCCTTTTCCTTAGCTATACCAGTTGTCTGCCCAAGAGTCCCCTGGATTACACACTGTTTGGCCATAAAGATTAGTCTATAGGCAGCATCTTAAGATTTTTCCTATCATAAGCATAACCATTTTAAAGTCTCTCAATACCAACAAAAGTAAGTATAATCTCATTGGCATAATCATATCATATCATATCCATGTCAAATCAAATCATCATCATATCATACGGTCTCATATCATAATCAGATCAATCCGCATGCATGGTTGCTTGAATTGAGAACACCTCTGATCTCCCGTCTTAGACTGCTTTATGTATTTATAAATAGATTCTGGTGTTTCCCTTTTAAGTAATTTTGTTATTTTCTAAATTGGTCGAAATAATTAAGATTTTCCCTATCATCATCTGTTATCTTCTAAATTCATTTAGGGTCCGTTTGGAAAGCAGGAAAATGACTTCTGGAAAATGTTTTCTAGAAAATGAGTCATTTTCCGGAAAACATTTTCCTTTCCAGTGTTTGGTTGCATTCTGAAAAACTATTTTTGTGTGTTTGGTTCATTTTCTGGAAAATGATTAGAATTGTATAATTAAACATTTTAATTATTTTATTTAGAATATTACAACATGTATAATAATAATTTTAAATATAATAAAAAATAACTAATAAAATATCAAAAATATTATGGAGGTAGTGGTGGTGTAATTTGTTACTGGTGGTGGTATGACGGTGGTGGCAGTGGTGGCGGTGGTTGCGGTGGTATGGTGGTGGTGGTGGTGGCGGCGACGGTGGTTGCGGTGGTATGGTGGTGGTGACGGTGGCGGTGGTTGCGGTGGTATGGTCGTGGTGGTGGCGGCGACGGTGGTGTGATGGTGGTGGTGTGGTGGTGGTGGCGGTGGTTGCGGTGGTATGGTGGCGGTGGCGGCGGTGGCGGCGGTTGCGGTGTTATGGTGGTGGTGGCGGCGACGGTGGTGGTAGTGGTGGTGGTGTGATGGTGGTGGCGGTGGCGGCGACGGTGGTTGCGGTGGTGGTGGTGGTATGGTGTTGGTGGTGGTAGCGGTGGTGGTGTGGTGGTGGTGGTGTGGTGTAAAAGTTGGAAAATGACTTCCCCCAAAAAAAGGGGAAGTCATTTTCCTCCAAAACAAGCCTATTTTCCAAAGTCAACGGAAAATGATTTCCGTTGACTTGATTTTTCAGGCACATCCAAACAATGAAAACTTGGAAAATGATTTCCAGAACTCATTTTCCAGGTTTCCAAACACACCCTTACTGTTTTTCTAAATTGATTTACTATTTAATATTTAATTAACATATATTTAACGGTGTAACGACATTTTTTGTCTAGAAAAAATAAAGTACAACATTTTTAATATGATGTACAACTTTACAAGTACAGAGAATACATATATAATTGTAGGGGTGTAAATGAGCCGAGCGGCTCACGAGCGGTTTGCGAGCCGCTCGGTCAAAGCTCGACTCGAGCTCGGTCAAAATCGAGCGGCTCGTTTATTAAACGAGCCGAGCTCGAGCTCAAATATTCTAGGCTCGTGGCTCGTCGAGCCGCTCGCGAGCCATAATTAAATAAATAGATAAATATTATATATATGGTAAGGATCAATGTCTACTATTGACTTGTAATTAAAGTGGAGTTGTAAACTTGTTTTGAGTGTTTGGAGTCTTTAAACATTGATGTTTGGACTTTTAAATTTTTTTAAAGTTTTTATTATTTATGTATGGATAAAATAATGTTTATTATTAATTGAAATATGAATTCAAATAGGTCAAAATCGAGCCCGAGCTCGAACAATCGAGCTGCTTGAGCCGAGCTCGAGCGGCTCGAAAAATTGTTGAGCCGAGCTCGAGCATCTTTTTTTGAGCTCGATCGAGCTCGAGCCGAACCATGCTTATCGAGCTCGAGCTCAAGCCAACCCATGCTCGAGCTCGGCTCGGCTCGTTTCACCCCTATATAATTGAGTGGTGTAACTAGCATTGAATCTTATAAATTAGTTAGATGTAAAAATAAATAAGTATATAATAATATGCATATCATTAATAATAAATATTTAACTATAGCCAAAGACCTTGTGGTCAAGCGGCATGAAATGTCTCTCTCAAGTGGGGGCGATATTGACTCGTGTTTTAGTAGGTTGAGAAAGTATATATGAATAGATACTATATGTAACATGGTTAATAGTACTCAAAAAATATTGAGTTAATACCCAAAATCGTCCTCGACTATAGTGGTTTTTCTCAATTTCGTCCTAAACGACTTTGGTGACCTAATATCGTCCCAGACTTTTGTGTTTCGCTCAATTTAGTCCTCCATTTGTTATTCCGTCAAATTGGTGTTAAATAAAGGGACAATTCAGTAATGTCAATATTGATCTCTCTTTACTTTCAACTTGTGAAGTGCGAAATTCCTTTTTCTTGTACGAATTACACCCAAAATTACTCCCGGACCTTGCAAATAAAATTTTATATTCGCAGTTTTAGGAGTAATTCTGGGAGTAATTCATAAAAAAAAGGGATTTCGCAGATCACATGTCTATGAGTAAAGAGATGCCAATATTAAAATTACTGAATTGTCTATTTATTTAACACCAAATGGACAGAATAACAAATGAGGGACTAAATTGAGCAAAAACACAAAAGTCTAGGACTAAATTGAGCGAAACACAAAAGTCTGGGATGATATTAGGTCACCAAAGTCGTTTAGGACGAAATTGAGAAAAACCACTATAGTCGAGGACGATTTTGGATATTAACTCAAAAAATATTTAACTATTTATGTCAATATATAATTGGTTGGTAAAAAATTTTCTACCACACATGTCAAGGATTATTATACACAAATACATACATATTTTATGATTTAGAATTTTTTTGAGTTTTTGTCATAAGTATCGTGGTCAATATTTTTGAAAACTTTAAAAATTCTCATCCACATTTTAGGTGTTTATAGTTATCACGTTATAGGTTTATAATTAACATGTTATGCATGTGTCTTCAATTTATATACATATATATACATGAACGGTTAATTGCAGGTATAAAATGTGTCAACTACAGATACATAATTTGAATGTTACTTTTGAATCAGGGTCCACAATGCAAGGTAGTCCCTGATCCATAGTATAATTTGTCAAAATCATTAATATGGGTCGTGAACCAAGGGGTTTGATGGCCTGACCCTTAAACTTTCACAAAATATTCTGTGGGCCCAGGTTCAAATGTTCACAAATTACATACTAAATTTTCACAATTTACTGTTTAAAATTCACAATTTGTATACTACGAACACACAATGTTATCATATATGTAATTGATTACCTTGTTTTGTATTCACAAGTTTCTTTCAAATATTGCAATCACATAATATTAACAGATTAGGATTTGATGACCCTGTATTGTATTCGCAAATTATCTTCTACAATTAGTTATTTGGTGTTCTTGAAGGTCATTTTTCTGTTAGATCATATCTTTTTATACACCAGTGAAATACTTATTTATTCTTAAGTATGTGTATAAATAATAAAATTCTACGTATCCCATCTAATAGAACGTTTAGTCATCGTAATTAATCCATTCACTAGTCTCGAAAAATCAGATGGCATGTTGTGCTGATGAATAAGAAACCTAGACAGCCCGTCAAACATCACTGGTCTCTCTAAAATTCATAACCGCAGGGTTAGCACTCGTGAAAGCACCAGAATTAAACTAAGAAAACTATTTCTTTCGTTGCTACTCTGCTTGTAATCATGCCACCAACGGTGACGATGTCGCAAACATGGCGCACATATTTTTTTCCATCAACGTTAACGACTAATGTTTGTGAACCCGCTACTATAGCCACCGAGTCTTCATCGGTAGACCTCTCTTCTCTGGTGCGGTTGCCCTACCTTTGCCTGTTAGCCATATCCCCACCTAGCTATATAATCAACTCACAAAAACCGTAAAACCTAAGCAAAAATCTAGCAATTAAAGTGTGGTAGAAAGCTTTTCTTTCATAATTAATTCAAACTCCTTTTTTTTTTTTTTTTTTTGGTAAAATTATTGATGAATTACTTTGGGGAAGAAAAAATGAGAAACAAAAACCAAAAATTTCTAATTATTTAAAAGAAGGAATAAACACAATAGGTTGTGAAACGAATGTAGAAGATTCAATTAGGACTTATGTTGTTAGTCGGACAAATTTATGAGGGTTGAACTTTGTATCTAAGTCAAATTATGTTCGAAAAAATAGCTTAAAATGGAATATTAAGTGGCTATTTCGTGGTACAATTATCTATGGGGTCAACTTTCGATTTTGGTCGGATCAAAGTGGATTCGGGTTCTTCATAGTGAGATGAAGAGATTGATATATTGTACGCTCAAAACGGATAATGGGTGAATGAGATATTGATTCTCAAAGTAGACCCATTTGAGCGGGAAAAGTGAAGAGAAAAAGTTTGGAAGTAGCTTTTTCTCCCACATTGGTTTGGGAAGTGGATTTGCACCACTATTTATAGAAGAGCTCTTCTTAGGTGTATTGAATTGTATAGTATAGAGGCTCTCTCTTGTGCATAAGGGCGAGTGTAAATGAAATCCCAAAATGAGATTTAAATGGCTTGAATTAGGTTTGTACGTTTTATTTAATTTTACTTAATGAAAAGAAACAGAATCTTCGCAAAAAATAACTGTTCATCAGTTTCATTCAATATTTATACACTCAAATATGTAAAAATGTTATTTAATTTTATTTTATATACACTATAATTTCATTAAAACACAACAACATGATCATTTGAATATAATTACAGCTTCATTTTACAATATACACTCAAATATGTGAAATGTTATTCAGTTTCATTTTATATATACTGTAGTTTCATTTCACCACAATTACAATATCATTTTGATATAACTGTAGTTTCATTTGATAATATAAAAATAATACGTGAGCCAGTGTCATTTTAGACACACTGTAGTGTCTAACGCGCGGTGCATAATTGATTATGCACGGCGGTGCATGATATAACGACCCGATTGGAGGCAGCGAGCCCAAAATGAGACTAAAATGGCTTGATTGAGGTTTGTAC